TTAAATTATGTCAATAAAAAAATCAACTGAAAGCCAAGCTGACTACCGTCATGGAGTTGTGAGTCACAGTTTGGAAGATTTAATGCAAGTTATGACCGGAAAAGCGTTTTGGTAACTATTGTCGAAGGAGGTATGGTCAGAATTTTTAATCCCGGATTTTTTTAACTTTAAAATCAATATCGTCAAGGATATCAAATTTCACACGTTTCCCTTTCACATTCCCATACACCGACCCATTAAAGTACCAAGCTGATGATACACTTTCGTTATCTAACAGCCGTGCGATTAATTCACTGTTTTCCTTAGTAACATCGTCACCCAGTCGAATATTTCCAGGTGCCTCCTTGACCGCTGATCGATGCCGCATGATGTGTGCCTTTCTGTCGTTGTTCTTTAGTTTTATCAGAATTGGCTTTGGGGCGTTTGATTTGGATCCTGGGATCCGGTGAACCGCCACTATATCTTGTTCATCAAGTTCCACACACCCCTTCTCTTTCAATGTAGATTTGACAACCTCAATGATGTTCTCATTTTTTGTTTCTTTTACACCGTATATTTTGATATTATTCTTTCGACTGTACTGTTCATTATAATTGGCCTTTACTGTGGCAAATGTCGCTAAATCTCGCACCTCACTCATTTCTTTTTCTAATTCTCTTGTGTTTTTATTTGCTGCAATATACCTTTATCACCTGCATATGGGGTATATATCTCTCAGTTGATTCGATACGCAAGAACATGCTCTACGTATGAACAATTTCTTAAACAAGGTAAATTATTGACAAACAAGTTGATGAAACAAGAATATCAGCTGTCTCGTTTAAAGTCATCATTTCGTAAGTTCTATGGTCGATACAATGACCTTGTCAGCAAATACAATTCATCACTGAGTCAAATGCTGACTGATGTTTTTCATACTAATTGTTAGGCCATTATTTACACACTGAATTGTCGACGAATTTTTCCGTTATTTCCCGATCATAACAATGAGCACACGGCGGGTGTGACCGGTCAGCAGGGGATGCTCACTCCTCCATGGCACCTGATCCCACCTCTGATGTTTAGAGGTCCGTGTTTGCTCTGCTCCTATTTTGTATTGTTTAATGGACTTTTGAGCTTGAATTCTGTTCGTTATCTCCATATATTTCCTTATAGTATAAATAGGTTTCTTAAAATTACCACTGCTTACGAACACCTGTTCATCTTGTTAAAAATAGCAAATATTTTTTGTTTTCATTTTTTTGTTGTTGATTTATTAATGTTAATGTTCAGTGTTTGGATTGCTGTTGTCTTTGGTTGAAAACAATCTGCTTAATCCTTGAAGTCCTTTCCCTGTAATAGAAAACAAGAGACCCATGGGCAACATCGCTCACCTGAGCACTGTAGCTTGGAAAAAAGCAAATATCAATTCAGTAAATGCATAAGTGGTCCTGACCCTTAAAAGGGAGGGGGGGGGGGGGTATGATTTGAACAAACTTGAATCTATGCAAACTTGAATCTACACTAACTAAGGATGCTTAAATATCTTTTTGACTGTGGCCTTTTCCCTATAAGTTTGAACTCTTATTGTGGTCCCAGCCTACACCCGGGGTCATGATTTGAACAAATCTGCATCTACAATACCTGAGGATGCTTCCATATAAACATGACCAAACATAACTTTGCTGTTCTACTGTAAGAAAACAATTTTTGAAGATTTTAACCTTGCCCATAACTTTTGATTGGTTGGAGCTATGAATTTCATATTTCACATGTGTATTCCTTGTGACAAGACCTTTCTTTGGGTACCATCATATTTGAGCTTTTGACCTTAACCTTGGAGTTTGACCCTCTTTCGCAAAATTTTATGAGACTTTAACCTTGGCCATAACTTCTAAACAGTTGGTGCTTGGGGTTTCAAACTGCACATGTGTATTCTTTGTGACAAGGCCTTCCTTTGGATATCATCAACTTTGACCTTTTAACCTTGACCTTGGAGTTTGACCTACTTTTGAAAAAACTTTAACCTTGGTCATAACTTTTGAACAGTTGATGCTTGGGGTTTCAAACTTCATATGTGTATTCCTTGTGACAAGACCTTCCTCTGGATATCAACCACTTTGACCTTTTGACCTTGACCTAGGAGTTTGACCTACTTTTGAAAAACATTAACCTTGGCAATAACTTTTAAATGGTTGATGCTAGGGCTTTCATACTTCACATATGTAATCCTTGTGACAAGACCTTCCTTTGGATACCAACAACTTTGACCTTGACCTTGATGTTTGACTTACTTTCGAAAAACTTTAACCTTGGTCATAACTTTCGAATGGTTGGTGCTAGGGCTTTCATACTTTACATATGTAATTCTTGTGACAAGACCTTCCTTTGGATACCAACCACATTGACCTAGACCTTGATGTTTTACTTACTTTTGAAAAACTTTTACCTTCGCCATAACTTTTGAACAGTTGCAGCTAGATCTTTCAAATTTCACAGGTATATTCCTCGAGACAAGACCTTTTTTTGGGTACCAACATTTTTTATCTTTTGGCCTGGATTTTGACTTGCATTTAAGAAACTTTAACCTTCACCATAAGCTGCCATACTGGGGCATCAGTGTTTCACATCTTGTTTTCAACTTATTTTTTAGCAAAGATAGTTAAAAAGCATTGGTAATTATAAAGCAGTATTGTTGCACTCCTGACTGCAGTAAAATTTAAAATTAAAACCATAGAACACAAAAATTCATAAAGTGTTGGCAACCTCAAGTGGTAATGAAATTGCGCAATATTTATAGTTCAATACTTCACAGATGAAAGTATTTAAAATTCGCATTTTATCTGGAATTATTCCCTATTTATGCAAAAAAAACCTAGCTTAAATGTATATTATATAAGATAAAATAAAATATTTTATAGCATATTTTCCTTTAGAGGACAAACACAGTAACCCACCAGAAAAATTCTATTCATCATTTTTTTCTTTATTTTTATTGAATGATTTATAATTCTAACATTTTTATTGCACTCCTGGCCAAAAGCATTGATGCCTTTTAAAGTAGAATTATTAAGTGAAAATTACATAAGAACTTGTTCCGTTCTTTCAGTGAAGTTGAGGAGGAATTACTTGAATTTTATGACATTTTTTAGTGTGTTTTTTTTAATGTTCATTAAAAAATCACAAAAGAGATAAAAACACATCTGAATTGATAAAATTGAAAAAGGAAGGATTTTAATAATAAAACTGCCAATAATTTAGTATTAAATTATACAAAAAGATCATTATTAATTAATGAATACTTCTAAGCATGAATAGAAGTGTTTTCATCACACATCTTTAATCTTTGAAAAAATGTGTTGCACTCCTGACCATAGAAATATAGATCTGAAGCACAGACAGACCATGTAATTGATAAATCTATTAGGTAAAAATGTTCTTTGTGTTTTTATTTTCCAAAATAAAAATCAGAAAATCATATAATGATAATAGTTTTTTCATGCTTGGGGGCAAAATATCAAATGTTGCTCTCCTGACATTATTGGGTATTCACATTATACTTGGCTATATTCAATGCTGCTTATGATTTATATAACTTTTTTAGTTTTAAAATGTATATCAGTTATTGTTTTACACTTTGAAAATTCTTTTTTGTCTAAATTTTCTTTCAGAATTTTACAATTGATGTTTTTTGGCAACACTACTTTTTTTTTCTATATAAGATTTTTTTTTTAAACATCAGCCATGACCACAACTTGATTTAACAAAAGTTACTACAGTCCACATTTAAAGCCCAATACTTTGAATATTATCAGGAAAGTTTTTATTTTTAACATAAAGCATTATTATTTATTTCACAGATCTCTAAAAAATATTGAAATTTCAAAATGTCACAAAAAGGTGTTGCACTCCTGACAATTTTAGCATCAAATTTGGGCATAACTTTTTTGTTAATTGAGATATCGAGATATTTAGCAGGTATCTAGACACTATCTAAAGACATATGCTGAGACATAGAAATCTATTTTCATTGTCTGTATTTTAAGTGTGGGTTGATAAATATGCGTTTGGTCATGTTTTTTTTTTAATTCACCCAAATATGAACCAGTATGATAGGAATAGGTTTTTGCATTTTTTGTAGGTTTTTTTTATGATTTCAAACCCTAGGTCAGTGGTGCCCTTAAAAAAAATCTTGTTTTAAATTATTCCATAGATCAAAATCTATCAAAATTTCATAATTTAATTTAGGGGCAGGCCTGTCCTGAAGAACTTCTATGCCAAAATTCACGCAAAAATTGGTGCTTTAACGGACAAAATACTGTTTTTATCAACTTTGAAGGCTAATTTTAAAGTTGCAAATAAAAAATTTTAGGTTCAAAATGCAAATTTAAAATATTTAGACAAATATACGATTGATTGATTAATGTTTTACGCCGAATCGGCACTATTTCAGCCATATACCGGTGAATGAAAACAACTAAAGAACATTATTTTTAAAAGTGACTTTTTCCGGAAAATTTTTCTCTCCTATAGGTCAAATCTTTCGTTATAACGAATACATCCTTTTATAAGATTTTAAGAGCAGCAGAAAGCTAGAATACATTTTGTTCTAGGGCTTTTGCTCTCAAGCTGCATTTCCTTGCGTTTCACCAAAGCCTAATTTAGAGTAATTCATTCCAATATTACATGACTTTATTAATACATAAAATAAATAATAATATGTATTATTATCAGATGTAGCATCTAAAATATGACTAATTCTATGTAATCCTACAGGCTACTTCAATGAAAGTTACAGATTCAAAAGAGTATGAAGGACAAAACTCAAACCTAGATTTTTTTTTAATCAATATTTAAGCAAATCTTTCCACTAAAAGTTCTCTTACTGAACCCAAGCCTGTAACAGGTTATCAAAATGATACAAATTATCTTGTTACGGATTATTCATGTTTCAATTAATAATTATTTAGAATTGACATTCTTGTACACGAATGTATCTTTCAATCCCCTGCAAGAATAACTTACCTCTTTAATTTCTCCTCTGCCATAAGTTCTTTCAACCTTTTTAGCGATTCTTCATTCTGATAAATACAGAGTTCAACATAATACAGGATGTTTATGGACAACTTAAAGATCTAATGCTGTATTCTGATAAATACAGAGTTCAACATAATACAGGATGTTTATGGACAACTTAAAGATCTAATGTTTTATTCTGATAAACACAGAGTTCAACATAATACAGGATGTTTATGGACAACGTAAAGATCTAATGCTTTATTCTGATAAACACAGAGTTCAACATAATACAGGATGTTTATGGACAACTTAAAGATCTAATGCTTTATTCTGATAAATACAGAGTTCAACATAATACAGGATGTTTATGGACAACTTAAAGATCTAATGCTTTATTCTGATAAACACAGAGTTCAACATAATACAGGATGTTTATGGACAACGTAAAGATCTAATGCTTTATTGAGTTAAATTGGTCTGTTATCACCCCAAACGGTCTGAGATATTTCCAATATTATATGACAATAATTTTTACTTCAAAGTTTTAAGTTGTAGTATCAGGGGGCCCAGACCCCAACCCCCATTTTTTTCAAGCACAACATTTCACTATTGTAAATGTTGATTTTCTCCCCCCCCCCTCCCCATCCCCCACTTTTTATTGAACCAGGGTCATCAAAAAATACGTAGACAATGTCTCTTATCAATCATATTACTTTCACAAATTTTAAGATCAACACATTTTCATATGTAAAAACATTTATTTTGTCGATGTGTGAAGTTTCACTCCATTTGATTAAATGGAAATCATGTTACTCAATTTTAAAAGCAACATGTTTTGTCACCACGGAGCAAGCTTAACAACATTGTAACGTCAAAACCAATGGTGAGAAAGTTTCTTAAAATTACTCTGCCTTTTCATTTCACACAGGGTTTGTAGGTCTTACCCATTCATAAAAACATATCCATAACACCTGACATCTACTATGCTAACAATTGTTTGAGTAGCTTAAGTTAGTTTGTCAGTGATTTCAAATTCTTAACTGTGTAACTCTGCTTTCACAAGTCCTGTAACAGTGAAGCACACATCATGTTTCATGAAGTTACATGTACTAACTCTTTTGACAAGAATTTTAACTATAATCTGCTTCTTCGCAGACCATCCATCATCCGATTCAAAGTCTCTACCACTCAAAAACTGTCATATCCATATACATACAAATGCATGGCTCATTTTTGATATGATTATTTCCTGATCCTCCAGCACTTTCAGAGTTCGTTTTAAAGGTTTCCTGAATGCAAAGCAAAATTTTGTCACTACTCGCTGCTCTGTGACGTCCTTTGATGTCATCATTTTCGCTTTTTTAAATGAAGTCTATCTGTCTTCAAAAATGATATCTTTTAAAGGAAGCAATGTATTACATTACATTTTAGCATCTGAAGTAATAGAACAATACCAGGGATCGACATTAACGGTTGTCCGATTGCCAGAGGCAAGTAAAACCTCAGTTCGGCAAGTTAATCTTTCAACATATTTGTCTGATCAGGCAAGAGAATTTTTCTGATAGAAATGTAGATTACATTAATTTATTTATCAAACAATTAAAAATTGATTTCCACCAGGTTCGTGCCTGCATGGTTTCTGCATTCGGAATCCCTCGGTAGCATTCTATATTAAAATTCAATTTAAAAGTCGGGTTCGTTATTGTTGTCTTTCATGATGGTAGTTACGCTCTATGTCTAACAAATCTGTTGCCTACTTATTAGGAAACATTAAGATTACTTATTCACTCAAAGAATATAAGTAACACAAGGTATCCTGATCAAAACATGTACGTTTCGTAGCAAGCCTACCTTTAGTTTATATCTTAAAAATCAAATTCAGAATCTTCTCGAAAATAATTTTTAGAAGTATAAATTTTACTAGAAAAGAACACAAGAGGGGGTTGGGTTTTTGCTGGATGGCAGTGTGTGTTTCCAGGTTAGATTGACAAGGACAGGGGTAAACATTGCATTGAATTGGCTTTTTTTTCATGTAGTTCAACCTGCCAAATAGACAGTTAGTGTATCTAGTCATATTTTTTTCTTATCATAGAGACATTTTCAGCAATGATTTAAGTTATTTTCTTCTTTCTTAAATTTGGGCAACCAAGTTTTGCAGTCGAGCAAGTCAAAGTTTGAGATTACTTGCCCTTCGGGCGAGTGAATCTAAAAGTTAATGTCTATCCCTGAATACTAAATTTGAATATTTAAATTTTATTTCGTTAAAGCGCTATTTATTAGAGGTATTGCAATAAAAATTATAGTGTATAATTAGTAAATAACTCAATTTTAACCCTGGTCCGTGACCCCATATTTGCCGTCTTAAATCTTTGATAATTTTAATAAATATCAAGATATATTCCAATTTTTTGACTTCAATTATTTAAATCTATTGTTAAAATATGTGTACCAAATTTGGTTATAATATGACGTTAAATAAAAAAGTTATGACAAAAGTCTACGAATTTTTTTAATGACCCTCGTAGTATACGTAAATAGAGGATATCTATATTGTGTGATGTGATATTTGCCTTATCCGACAAGTTGAAATGGAGTATGTTCGCGAGGCTTGCCGAGCAAATATACACCATTTCAACAAGTTGGATAAAGCAAATATCAAATCACACAATTATAGATGTTCTATTTATATTATTTATCTCATGCGATTTTCGTTTTTGACAAAACTTTGAGATATCCCCGGTGAAACTTATCCAAAAACATAGGTAATCAAAGATTACTAAGCTCACCTTGACGAATGATATCTTTCAGTACTTGGCAAATCTCACATCATATTTTTTTCCTAGTTTGTGTGCATCCCAAGATCAAAATCCATGCAAGTTTGGTTTAAGTAGAACTTGTAGGTACTTGGGAATGGACCTGCTCCAAAAACTTTTACTTGTTCACTAATCAAGAAAATGAAGGCCAGTTCCAACATCTGAAGCAAGACTGGAAGTGTCCATCCCTAGATGCATCATACATGCAAGCTTAGTCATAAAGGACATATAATACAGAGCTACTCCAAAAAAATTATCCTGTTCACTCATCTGGAAAGTATAGGAAAAAATCAGCATCCAAAGCAAGTCTAGAAGTGTCCATCCCTAGATACATCATCCATGCTAATTTTGTTAAAATATGGCTAAAAATCACTCATCTGGAAAATGTAGATCAGATCCAGCATCCGAAGCATGTCTGGTAGTGTCCAACCCTAGATGCATCATCCATGCAAGTTTGGTCCAGGTAAGGTTTATAATTACTTGGAAATGGACCTGCTCCAAAAACTTTTACCTGGTCACTCATCCGGTTGTGTCAAAACTGGAAGTTCTATTTATAAAATACCTACCCTTGGATAAAGCATAGCGTTATCTCTCTTCCTGGCTTCTGATACCTGTGAAGTTTATAAAAAAAAGTACAATGGATTTGTGAAAGAATTGTTTTAAAAATGAAATGCATGCAATATATAGATCATCCTCTACTCAAAAATACAATAGGTTTTATTTCTTTAAGTTTAAACACAGAGTTGACTTTCACTGAAGCCCAAGTTCACAATACAAACCTTTTCATTAGCTTTCTCCAGCTCCTTTTTTAGTTCAACAATTTCCTGTTTAAGGATTTCTCTTTCCTCTGGAACAAAAGTGGTGAATTCATTTTGAATACATTTTCTATTAGCACACCATAACATATACCAAAAGTACATGTATTTTATTAAAACAAGTAAATTAATGTACATACATGTATCATAATTCTATGCATTTAAGGATACACCAAAGGTTTCCAAATGCCGGAATTTAATTTGCGTGTAATTCTTTCATTATTAAAGATAGTACCATAAAAGTATATATTATTTGAAAGCTTGTTAAATTTACTATTTAATTATCCTTATTTAAAGTTAAATTGACAACTTATTAAAAAATTATTTAAAATTTGATGTAAATTTTAGTGCATAAGTTTTTTTTATAAATCAACTTTTTTGTATTTCTCCTCTCAAAGTGGTCTTTTTGCCTCAAGGTTGATTAAAGATTGAACTTCAAACTGTACCTCATTTTTTTTTAAAAATCTTCTAATCCAAAAGTTACAGCCATTTGGACTTCAAGGTTACCAACTTTTTAGCCTAATTTAACATTTCCCTCAATAATTCCAAAACTAAGCAAGATATATAAAAAATCTGCAATACGGTTTTGTGAACACATATTTGAGAAGCAACCTAGCCAATTTTCAGAGAAATTGGTCATTAAATAAGAGAGCTGAATCCTTTTAATTAATACCATAAACTGTCTGATCTTACTTTACAGTAGAGGGCAAAAACCTATTACCCAACAAAATCTGTCAAAGCTCGAAATATATGACACCTTGGAGATCCAGCTATGGATATTTGTCAGTTAACCATATTTCCAATGCATATTCAAAGAATGGGATGTTCTTTTCTGTATTTAGAAGCTTTTAATTCAATTCTGAATCAGAGAGATTTTACAGCAAAAGGGCAAGAGCTTAGCACCGCCTCCTATTTTACAGTCATCAGTGATCTGTTAGATCTCCCTCTCTAAATCTAGAGTCCCTGTAGTTTAATTACTGATAATCTCTTGTGTGGCTAGGGAAGAATTCCCCAATTATTTATTGCCTCTTTCATGAGCAGACAGTCACAGATCAAATCAGAAGCTTCAATAACAGAACATTCACATGTGGTAGTGTTTATGTTTCATTATTGTTAAATAATTTTAAAGAGCCATTCCCTGTAATGACTTTAACTTTTATATAGGAGCTGTGGCACGCATAGTCTCAGAATTTCTCCAAATCCTCTATGATAAAAGTCTTTGATACCGTAAACTCAAATCAGGCAAAAATTGGCTGCTATGTGTCATGGTTACCATAGCAACATGTCCTAAAATTTGAAAAATGGCATTTTTCAACATATTCAGAGTCCCACAGTTAACGTTTGCAGCAAAGCAAACAAGTGGCAATGACTGTTTCTGAAAGTTTAAGGCCTGCTCTCTTAAATGCATGATAAACATGTTTGGTAAATCAACTATTATATATGTTACTATGGAACCAAAGTATTCAAAGTAATAATTTTGTTCATTTAATTTTATAAAGTCATACACTTAAGATTAAAAACAAGTATAGGTTGAAATGCAAGCAAATAATAGACAAGAGATCCTTGTAACATATACCAAGGACGAAATGTGATATTTCTTATAGGTTGGCAATGGTTGCCATGGTTTTAATACCACAAAAGAATTTTAAATTTACTCTCTTAGTGTTTTAATCTTATCCTATCTTTTTAAAAAGCATATTTCTATATAATTGAGGATCAATTTTTAAAGGCGTTGGTGTGACCCTAATTTTCACATTTCAAAAAATTCAAATTCATGTCTTTAAATAGAGCATTGCTATGGAAATAAGCCGAAAAAATATGCATAAAAATCTGAAAAATATTCTGTTTCCTTGGATACGTACCCTTGTATGTTGATTCCCAAAACTTTTATGATTGATATATATGATCAACTAACCTGACTTTCAATTTTGACTACCACCCAGTCTCTAACTGGATGCAAAAAGCTGGCACATAGAATTTAATATTGATATAAAATTAACAAAATTGAACATTTTCCCTTCTTGGTAACCATAGCAACAGTGTTGTATTTTTCAACAAACTTTATCAATATGAAATATATGGAGATAACGAACAGTATTCAAGCTCAAAAGTCCATTATACAATACAAAATAGGAGCAGAGCAAACACGGACCTCCAAACATCAGAGGTGGGATCGGGTGCCATGGAGGAGTGAGCATCCCCTGCCGACCGGTCACACCCGCCGTGTGCTCCTTGTCATGATCGGAAAATAACGGAAAAATCCGTCGACAATTCAGTGTGTAAATAATGGTCTAACAATTAGTATGAAAAACGTCAGTCAGCATTTGACTCAATGATAAATTGTATTTGCTGACAAGGTCATTGTATCGACCATAGAACTTACAAAATGATGACTTTAAACGAGACAGCTGATATTCTTGTTTCATCAACTTATTTGTCAATAATTTACCTCGTTTTAGAAACTGTACATACGTAGAGAATGCTATTGCGTATCGAATCAACTGAGAGATATATACCCCGTATGCAGGTGATGAAGGTATATTGCTGCATAAGTAAGGGAAGTTGACGATTGAAAAGTTAAAGTCATCACGTTTATCATAAAGATTGGTTGTTAGATTACCATTAACATATGATACTCAACTTTAGTTCTACCAGATAAGTACTATTCAAGGTGAGTCAAATAATATGTTTCTTTATTAAAAAATAAGTAAATTCCCAAAGCAGCCAAAAATATCACTTTAAGGGGAAGAAGGACCTTTAGCTGAAAAAATACTTGTCATTCAATTTTTTTTTATATTTTGTATATTTCTTATTAAGTATGTCCCACATATCTTAAAGCAGTTATATCATTAGGTTTCTTACCTTATTTTAGAGATATTGATTGACAAATATTATGCCCTACAGTATCTAAGTGGAGTTTTAATTCTCCATGTTTCCGGGCTCATTACTCTGTCCATAATTGGATTTTTAAAGCATATATAAAAAATATGTAAGTGAACATGTATCTTTTAAAATATTTCAGAGTATGAATTGGGTTTAAAATTCGAAAAGGCAAGATTCATCTATCACACTGCATCTGGATAGGGAAAATTACGAACTTTTTAAGACAACTTAAACAACAAAAAACGTAATTTACAAAAAATTCTATCATTCAATATTTTTAAATTTACGTTGAAATGCAAGTCCTTCAAATTATTGATTAACTGTAAAAATTTCGAATGGTGAAGCTGACCTCAATATTGCACAGGATATCGTTAAAGACGACATAAGCAGGACAAAAACTTGTCATGTTTACATTTCTCGAGTAAGGGAAAAAGCGACTATGACGTCACACGTAAGCTAAATAAGCGAAATAAGATATACCTACATAAGATTTCCGTCATCAGGCACGCAAAAATAATTTTTGTGTTCCCCGTTTCTCAAAATACTTCATCATATACTGATTATGACCTGTTTTTATATAATAATACCGCCCTTGTATTCACCGAGTATGATCTTGCTGTACTAGCAGATCGTGTATGACGTCAACGACTTGTTGGACGCGCAGTTTAAAGAAACAGAGGAGTGGATCAATCTTTTTTTCATAATTTGTTAATGTTTACAAGAATGTTAAACTTTTTATTCTTTTAATATAAGATGGTAATTAAAGAAAAAAAATTGTCAAAATGTTTTACAAGAACTGATGCTTTACACGTTTTGCACTTATATAAATGGAGACTATGACGTAGTTTAACAAAGTCATGTGACCATGTGTCCTTCATCCCCTTAATCAACTAATATGTTGTTTCCATGGTTACACTGCAAAGTAACAATAAATTCCTATTTTTTCTTTATGTTGTCGGTTTTTCAAAGTCCTAAGGATGTATATGTGCCTGTCATGAATTTTATTGTTTTTCCTCAAGATAGTAGCATTAACCCAATCTTAGCAACAGATTTTGCATGGTTACACTGTGTTACCATGGCAACCATGAAAGTTATTTTTAGAATAATATTGCCAATAACTAATTACTTTAGGTCAAATAATTTTACTGTTTTTCTTTGGTTGTTGATTGAGTTTGATCATGTATCATCTATCATAAATGAATATTGAGCGTTTTTCAGCATTTTTCAAAAATGTATTCCAAATGTACCCATGGTTACCACTTACTTAAAGATAAATTCTAAATAGTTTCTTTATAGCATAAGTGGAAACAAGGTGTCATGTTTTTGTGAGAATGGTTTGTTGTTTTTCTTAGTCTTTATTAAGGCTTGATAAAGATTCAAGGTAGCTGAAAATCTCATTTTTTTCAACTTTTCTGGCTGTTACTATGGCAACCAAAACACATAGCAATGAAATTTTATTTGATATATGTTTCTGGTGTCAAGTTGTAATAAAGGGCAAAGTTTCATCAAAATCGGTAACCATGCGTGGCAAAAAAGTTTAAGTGGTTACACAGAATCGCTAATAAATAAAGTGTTCCACCACAGCATGATACGCTCGTCAAATATTGTTCAATTGTCATTAATCAGCCTGCGAACTGACTAGTTATCTTACCAAGAACTTCAAATGTGCTTGCGTGTTCTGGAATTCTGGGAGGTAGATTGGTACCCTGACATTGGTTAATATAAAAAGTGCAAGCGATTCTGGGAGATTGACGTAGACCTGTTGATTTCATTTCAGTTAAATCAATATGGATTAAACAACAAAATCCCTATTTTAACACCATGCATATACCAATATAATGTAAATACAGTTTTAAACAGTAAAGGCATTTGGTGCTGTTTTCTTTGGGAAAATGTCCTGTATTGGGGTGTGTATATATTAGCTCTTGCAACATCAATAATCTGGTTCGCAGTAATTTAACTGGTTGGCAACTATTCATAAAACGTGTGTTCTACGCAACGAGGCATAAAATTGTATAAATTCGTTTTACTAAGTGTTTGGCGCATCAGTTTAAACTCTTTTGAAAAGTATCTTAAATGTATTTTACAAGTGTATTCAATTCTGTAGCATAAATATTGGATTATTTCAGATTTTGAAGCTTTTCAGTTT